AGAGTAGGTTTTCAGTCACCGAGTAGTTCCCTGAGCTGTTTTGCGAAATACTTACGGCTCGTTGAAATACCTGAAGATAATTCTAGCATACTATATATTTTCTGTATTGCTGGTATTGATTTCGAACTACACCCCGCCGTCTGACCGCTTATCACAATTATCCGGTTCAATACTGGTCAAACTAACCATTCGCCCGAAGCAACCAGTAGCTAGACGAAATAGTTGGCGCTTCTTTTCACTCGCCTCTGTGCCGCCGACACTTTCACGACCAGCAATTTTAATAGGGAAAGTATACGCGCAGTCACAATCATGGCCGTATTATCACGTCTGATCACGGGTCACGTCGGACAGTCACAGTACAGTACCTCGCTATCACGCGTGATCACATCGCAATCACGCTTGGTCACAACTCGCCCCGCAGGGTTATCACGTTTGGTCACTCGTTGAAACGCCCGCCAAAAAGTCGAAACTCTAGAATCTACTGTATAGATTTGGGTAAAAATTATATCGCGTGCGTTTTGTCTGCAGCGAAAAACGTGATGTTATAGCTAAAATACACTCGGACCTTGTTAGGAACTGTAGCAGGATAATCCAGAGTCTGCATTTTGCAGTGAATCACCGCCATCAATAGCAGTTGCGATTTTACCATTTATCAATTTGGAATGATACCTTGACATTTTTGCTTTCTTACCCAGTAATAAATAATTCAAGTACAAAGTGTAGTTTGTATCTCAGACATATGTCAATCTGGATTATCCTGCATCAGTTCCTAACAAGGTCCGAGTGTATTTAGGCTGTCACATCACGTTTTTCACTACAGACAAAACACGCGCTTGATAATTCTACCCGAATCTTTACAGTAGTTTCTGGAGTTTCGACTTTTTGGCGGGCGTTTCAACAAGTGACCAAACGTGATAACCCTGCGGGGCGAGGTGTGACCAAGCGTGATAGCGTTGTGTTCACGCGTGATAGCGAGGTATTGTACTGTGGCTGCCCATGATGATCCCGTGACCAGACTTGATAATTTTGCAATAATTGTGACACCGCGTATAATCTCCCATTTTGAGGTATCACTCAATTCTCTTGGTGCTCAATGCCAAAAATGCAACTGTTGAATTCGGAGCCTGGTTGCAGTTTTCGCCTATGTTATGCCAATCACTCACATGGCCAATCAATGACCCCAATCTTCTCACGACATGGTGTAATGAAGTAACTCATTTTTGTTACCAGTGTCAGAGCCACTCAGGCGCAGCCTTCCAACAACTCCGTCCCTTCGCTTGGTGGGGCCTCCCCCGCCGACCAAAAGAGCCAGGCTGGCTCTCAAATGGTCGGCGCTCTGGGATTGGTCACGTCCCATTCCAAACAAAAAATGAGCGTCAGAAATGTGTCGTATACAACTTAGGATTCTGTTCCACATTGGCATTTAGCGCGGTTCGAGTCCAGCGTGGCAGAACAAGACACTACAGTATTTCCCGTCAACTGAACTCCACTCCAAGTGCAACCCTAAATCTCAGGCTCCCCTAATCACAACAGAACAGCAATTCTGCCTAATCATCTCCAACAACAGCACAGCTGCATCCATTCCGCACCACAGGCCGCCCAACTCCAGCCAGGACAGTCCCCACCCGAGAATGCACGGAATGGCGCTCCGTTTTGTTCCGTCCCGTTCGGTTCTGTTCTGTTCCGTTCTCTTGTGCTGCCCAGTTCTGATCAGGCTGGTCTCACCCTCCCCGAATTGGGCAGTATTTCATGCAGACAACGTACGGCCGTGAAATGCGGCATTTCAATGCTCCAACCATCAACACTCCTTTTCAACTTGAAGCTGAATTTGAAATTGTGGCTGTGATGAAACGCGCTGCGTTCAACGGTGGATCGGATCCACTGAAGGTACTATTATATCCTCATCAGATACAGGTCATTTGAGCCTGCTTTTGCCAGACCATTAATAAGTCTATAGTAGTAGGGGAAAAATGTACACGGCTGCTACTAGCAGTGCTGTGCACACTCGATCACGTGACGCAGTGTGTAGAGTGGCAGTAGTGCTTTGCCTAGTAATCGCAACTCTTTGCCGGAGGATCCTCTGAGGGAAAACAACAGAGAACTACTACTCCATTGGCAAAAGCCTGACTTCGGATAGAAAATCAATGTGTTTCCTGACTTCTACCACTACCAGCAGCACTGGCCCAGCACCGTTGGGGACTCGCAGCAGGCGACCGGCGGCAGCAATGCCGCTTCACGGAAAGAACGAAAGCCTTCCGTTTGCAAGGACCGTGGTTGGTGGCGAGAGAAAGGAAGAACGGCGGTTCTCAGAGAATCATTCTGAACGGGGCGGGCCAGGGAAGCATCATGATGATGACCATGTTGATACAGATGTGGAGTCAGGAGCGTACAAGGCTACTACTGCATCCGCCATTGCTGCTAGTAGCACTGCTATTACAATCAGCCAGGACCCCAGCAGGGGAGCTTCTGTTTCTAACAGTGCTGCGGGGCAGAGAAGGCACCAGTGGGGCGGAGGGAGGGATGGATTTCAGGAGAGAAAAGGAGAGGTGTTGGAATGTGGAAGCAGCCAGCAACGTCCCCAGCAAGGACTCCTTCCACTAGGGCTGACAATGGTTCAGCCACCGCCCCATTCCCAGGGGCCCTGTCCCAGTGACCATCCTGACCGTTCATCTCAACAGCGGCCGGCCTTCCGGGCCTCACTGGTGGACGGCAGGCTGCCGCCAGGTGGAACCGTTGTGCCACAGCATCCACCGCCCCATGATCCTCAGGGGCCCTGTCCCAGTGAACCTCGTAGGGAGCGCTCATTTCAACGGCAGGCCTTCCAGGCCTCACTGGTGGACGGCAGGCTGCTGCCGGGTGAGGCCGTGGCGCGGCTGCAGCTCCAAGCATCGCCACCACTGGCTGCGGAACTACCCCGACCAGGTGCCGCCGGTGCTACTTGTCGTCTGGCTTATCCAGTGCCGGCCGATCGGCAATATCAGCATGCCGATGGTGCTTATGATGATGATGATGATGACGCTGCAGGTATACCAGGTGGCGATCGCCTAGTGAATGCTGGTTGTGTCATCGTCGCAGGTGTACCAGTCGAAAGATCATTGCTACCTTCTGACACGGTCCCCTCATCTGACGTCGTCAGGCTCATCGATATTCTGCTCCGAACCGCCCGAGCTGGTTCGAGTTCCGAACCACTCATTCCCGAGGCTGCACAAGCTGCAGCGGCAACCCCTGTAGTCCGTGCTACAGACGCTGCAGGAAACGGCGCCAAGCAGGCTGACGTAGCAGCTGCATTTACCGCCACCTGCCGACTTGCTGCTACAACAGCATCCCGTGCCGCTAAGGTGACGCTGGGAGGGAAGCAAGGGCAAGGGGATTGGCTGCATCCCCTTCCAGTGTCCCAGCCTGGCACGAGAAGAAAAAGAAAGGAAAACACCGGTTCTGCTGCTGCTACGTCTGCTGCTGCTACAGCTGCTGCTGCTACTGCCACCGCCACAACTTCTATTACTGACAGCAGCAGACCAGGAAACGTGCCAAGACCCAGCTCCTTCACATGCACCAGAGGAGCCCTACCCAGCCAGCATACAACTCTTCTCTCCTCGCTCACCACCCTCCAAGCCAACGTATCCGCGTTACAAGCACTCGTTTGCATCCTTTCGCAGGTAGGCTGCTTGGATATTCCATTGTCAGGCCGTGTCCCAAATCCCCGTGCTTGGATAGTGCTCCTCACTATCTGTTCTGTGGCATCACAAGACGCAGCACACACTTTGCTGACGTGGCACCCACGGGATCCAGCTCACTGTTGCTCACCACTGTTGCTACGGCTCTGGCATTTGGCAGGCGTAAGCTAAGCACATAGCTCCAGTCACCCTGCTTGGCTATCTTGTTTCCCATTCCCTCTTTCTAGTGACGAGTCTTCATCGCCCTCTTTTCATCACCTTGTGCTGCCACCCTTGGTATATGATGCCCCAGATATTGCTGCCGGTTTCACCAATCTGCTAATGCGCTCATTGTGTGAGCATTGAGTTTCTTGCCACCATTGTATTACTGCCCTATTTCAGCAACAGAAGGAGGGAATGGAGAAGGAGAAGGAACGGCACGGGGAGGAGGAGGAGGAGGATGAGGAGGAGGAAGAAGAGGAGGATGAAGAAGAGGAGAAAAAAGAAGAGGATAAGGAAGAGGAGGAGAAGGACGAAAAGGGAGAGGCGGAAAAGGAGGAGGAAGAGGAACACCCACAACAGCAGGAGGGGAAGCGGCAGGAGCAGCAAGGAAAGGAGAAGGAGCAGAATGAGGACTGCGGTGTAAAGCAGGACGACGAGGAGCGGGAGAAGCAGGCTCAGGAGAAGCAGCGGAAGCAACAGCGGGATGCAGTGGCAGTGGGAATCGTTGGCATGATCAAGAACCTTGCAGTGGCTGCTGCGAGCCTTCTTCCCCCAAACCAGCAGCATGCCGCTCTCCTACCTCTGATCCCTCTGCTGCCGAACCTGCAGGTAGCGTCGGCTTTGCCGAGGCAGGTTCTGCCGAACCAGAATCTGCCGAACCAAGCTTCGCCATACCAGGCTCCGATGGACCGAGGGAGTAAGGAAGGTTCGGGTCCGGTGGCTCGGGGACAGGAAGCAGGTAAGGATGAGGAGCAGAGGGGTGAGGGGAATGAGGGAGATAGACATAGCATGGATGAGGAGAACGAAGGGGAAGAGGGAGAGGAGGAAGCGGAGGGAGGGAATGATGATGGTGGTGATGATGATGGTGACGATGAGGATATGGAGGAGAACGAGGAAGAGAAAGACGAGGAGGAAGAGGAAGAGGAAGGGGAAAAAGGCGACGAGGAGGAAGAGGATGCAGAGGAGGAGCAGGATAGGCTGCAGGAGAGGGAAAGAACGGAAAGGGATGGAGGAGGAGGCAAGGAGATGCAACTGCGGCCGCAGGTTGCAGTTACAGGTGATTTGAGAGTCAGGGAACGGCTCAAGGCTTCTCAAACAAGGCCGCACGATAACGAGTCTGCTGGTATGGGTAGCTGCTTGGCCGGGGATACCCGGTTGAAGCGCAAGCAGCGCGGCGGGGAGGTTAGCCCCCGCAGGCGCAAGAAGCTGAAGCAGCTGCTGCTGCAGATGCAGGCAGTGCTGCAAGAGAGGGTGGCGCACGGGGGAGGACCGGGGACAGGAGGAGTGGCAACGCCAACAGCAGCAGCAGCAGCAGCAGCAGCAACAACAGAGGCAGAATCAGAGGCGGCGTCAGCAGCAGCAGTAACAGCAGGAACAGCACGAACAATAGCACATACAGCAGCACAAGAACCACCAGCAGCAGTAACAGCAGAAGCACCACCACCACCACCAGCATTAACAGCAGCAGCACTACCACCAGAAGCAGTAACAGAGGCAGCAGCACCACCAGTAGCAGCAGCACCACCAGCAGTAACAGAAGCAGCAGCACCCCCACCAACAGTGACAGCAGCAGCAACAGCACCAGCGGCAGATACAAAAGCGGTGAAGGCAGCACAAGGACCAAAGAAAGAAAGCATTGACTCTGATCCAGACCCGTTTGCATTTGACTGGGCTCCAAAGAGAGCAGCCAAAGCAGAGGGAAAGCAGGAGGCTGCGAGTGGAGCTGTCAGGCTGGGAGTAAAGCAGGAGGCTTCAGATGGTTCTGGGCCCTCGTGTGGCTTCACAGTCCGTCCCGACGCTCTCTGTGCTTCAAGGTGTCATCTCTACTCCTGCTGCTGCTGTCGCTCTGCCACTCTTTGCTCTGCTCCTCCTCCTACCTCTGCTCCTCCTACCTCTGCTCCTCCTCCTACCTCTGCTCCTCCTCCTACCTCTGCTCCTCCTCCTACCTCTGCTCCTCCTCCTACCTCTGCTCCTCCTACTACCTCTGCTCCTCCTCCTACCTCTACTCCTCCGAGCTCTGCTTTCTCCCAGAGTTAACTACTTACCCATGAAGCGTTTTTTTTTCTCCCTCCCTCAGTCATTTTCTTCCTCCCTACCTCCCTCCCTCTCTCCACCCACATCCCCCCAGCTCTTCCCCCACGGCCTTCACCTGCCCAGTACCGGGCTGCCAGCACAACGAGCACCACCCGCGCTTCCTCCCCAGTCTCATCCCCTTCCCCTGTTCACGTCTACTGTTCTGCTCCTCTTCCTCTCCGCCCCCACCCCCCTTCAGCTCCTCCCCCACAGCCTTCACCTGCCCCGTGCCGGGCTGTCAGCACAACGACCAGCACCCGCGCTTCCGCCCGCTCAAGTCTCTCTCCTCGCTGCACACCCACCACCTCCGCGTGCATGGTTCCAAGCCATTCACTTGCTCCCGATGTCAGGTGATCGACCTCTTTCACTTTACTCCACTGTCCTCTCCTCTCCCGTCCTTTCCTCTCCCCTTGTTGCATCCCATACCCTCCGCCCTCCTCCCATCTCCTCTCCTCTCTACTCCTCCCTTTTTCTCTCCTCACATCTCTTCTCCTTTCATTCCTCTTTATCTGCTTCAACATCTCAGATCTCTCACATCTAACTTTCTACTCACGAGGGGTGGTGTGATCACGTGGTGCTCTCCCTGTGGCGACTCAAACATCCTTCGAGTCTCTCTAATCTGATATCTCTAATCGTTCTGCGCAGGTCAAGTCCTTTGGCCTCCAATCCGACCTGCGAGCACACGAGAAGCAGTGCGGTGTGAAGCGGTGGCACTGCTCCTGCGGGAACTCCTTCAGCAGAAAGGACAAGCTAGCCAACCACCTCAACACCTTCACCGACCACTCCCCTCTCTACAACCTCCAACCAGTCGACATCCCCGTTCAGCCAAGGCAGAAGCAGCAGAAGAAGAGACAGCTTGAGGCACAGACGATGCAGGTAGAGGTGCAGGCGAGGCAGCTTGAGGCGGGTGTAAAACAGGTAGAGGCGCAGGTGGAGCAGGCTGAAGCCCAGAGGAAGCAACTGGAAGCCCCTCCAAAAAACGCCAGGCACATCAACCACGTGGCATTCACGGATCAGTCCCCTGCCAGTGCCAGTCACGTGGGGCGCTCTGCCAGCTGTGCTTCCGAGGGGACCCATCCCTGGGGGCAAAACGCCGTGGAGAGAAACGCATTGGAGAGGAGTGGCTCACAAGGGAACGAGGCGAGGAGTGGGTATGTGTCGCTGCTGCTGCAAGAAGCGCAAGGGTTGGACCAGAAGTCTCCCTTGCAAGCAGAGGGTTTTGAGCTCCGTGAACAGGCTCAGCACTCCCAGCAGTCGCAGCAGACCCAGCAGACCCAGCAGACCCAGCAGACCCAGCAGGCCACACTGATGGACGAGACTCATGCATCCCCTGCTCTCACCACCCTGCCAATGAACACGCCTGTGCCACCCCTGCAAGCACCCAAGCCCCTGGGAAAATGTGCCCTACCCTTACCGCAGCACCACACCTCCCCGGCCTTGCTGCAGCACCACCCCTCCCCGCCCTTGCCACAGCAACACTTGTCCCCACCCTCGCGGTCAGCACAGGTGCTTCCTCTGTCTCTGCCAACCCAGCTGCCCACACAGTCTGTCCCCGCTGCAGCCCTACTCCACCCTGCACAGTCAACGCAGTCAACACAGTCAACGTGGGCTATGCAATCCTCGCCGCCTGTGCAGCGCCTGCCATCTGAACGGCCAGTGCAGTCAATGCAGTCTACGCAGCGAATGCAGTCAGCACAGTCCGTGCAGTCAATACAGTCAACGCAGCCAGTTCCACTTGCCACTTTAAGCGCCCCTTCGGTTCTCCCGGTGCTCCCTCCAACTGCCCCAGTGATCCATCCAGTTGTCCCCTCGGGATTCCCTCCTTCCGAGCCTTTCCCTCCCTCCGAGCCTTTCCCTCCCTCCGATCCTTTCCCTCCCTGCAAGCCTTTCCCTCCCTCCGATCCTTTCCCTCCCTCCGATCCTTTCCCTCCCTCCGATCCTTTCCCTCCCTCCAAGCCTTTCCCTCCCTCCGAGCCTTTCCCACCCCATGCACTGGCTGAGCCCACGGCTGATCTGCCAATGCTGGATTCACACGCTCATCTGTCGAGCTCTGATGCTGACCTGTCAACATTCAATCACAATGTTGACCTGTCAACATCGAACTGCGATGCTGACCTGTCAGCGCTGGAGGCGTCGTGTCGGGCGATTATTGGTTCGGGGAAGAATGAGGCCCTCGAGACTTCGTGTAAGCTGATCCTCTTGGCGCTGCAGCAGCAGCAGCAGCAGCAGCAGCAGCAGCAGCAGCAGCAGCAGCAGCAGCAGCAGCAGCAGCAGCAGCAGCAGCAGCAGCAGCAGCAGCAGCAGCAGCAGCAGCAGCAGCAGCAGCAGCACTTACAGCAGCGTCAACAGCAGTCGCAGCAGCAACCGCAGCAACAGCAACCACGACAGCACGGGCAGGACCAGCAAATTCAGAAGCAGCCGCACCAGCAACAACAACAGCAACCGCTGCATGAACTACAGTCGCAACAACAGCAGCAACCGCAGCAGCAACATAAGCAGCGACTGCAGCAGCAGCAGCAATCTCGGCAGCGGCAGCAAGTAGAGGTGCATGTGTGGGCGCAGAGGCAGAAGATGCAGCAGGTTGAAGCATCGCATCAGCAGCAAGGGCAGCAGCAGCAATTGGTGCAGCGACTGCAACAGGGACAGCAGCAGCAACTGCAGCAACAGGGGCAGCAGCAGCAACTGCAGCAACAGGGGCAGCAGCAGCAATTGCAGCAACAGGGGCAGCAGCAGCAATTTCAGCAACAGGGGCAGCAGCAGCAATTGCAGCAACAGGGACAGCAGCAGAAATTGCAGCAACAGGGGCAGCAGCAGCAATTGCAGCAACAGGGGCAGCAGCAGCAACTGCAGCAACAGGGGCAGCAGCAGCAACTGCAGCAACAGGGGCAGCAGCAGCAACTGCAGCAACAGGGGCAACAGCAGCAATTGCAGCTGCAATTTACGCAGCAGCAGCATCGACAGCAACACAAACACCAACCGCAACAGCAACAGCAACAGCAGCAACAGGGGGGGCAGCAGGTGCAACAGGTGCAGCAACAGCAACAGGGGGGGCAGCAGGTGCAAAACCAGGTGGAACGGCAAAAACAGCAGCATTTTCAGCAGCAGCCGTCCAGCCAGGTAGTCCCACCGCCCTTTCACCACCAAGAAACCACCTGGTATAGCCAAGAACCCACCTGGACTAACCATGAACCCAGCTGGGCTAACCAAGAACCCAGCTGGACTAACCAAGAACCCAGCTGGGCTAACAACCCTGTGCCAGCCCCCTATACAGCACCTACTACTGACCCTCCATCCCAACCCTTAACCCGCGGTCTTCCTCTCCAGTCAACGCCAGTAGCCACTGAATTTCTTGAGTCAACACTTGAGTCAACCCTAGAGTCAACGTGCCTTCCACCGCCCCACCATAGCTGGAACACCGGGGTGGCCCTTGAGCCAACTCAAGGGTCAGCTGACCTTCCGCCCCAGCTTCAAAGCCCAAGCCATCAAGTGGCCCTTGAGACTAACCTAGAGCCAACTGACCCTCCACCTTCCCACCATACCATCCCAACACGCCATCACAGCCTCATTCACGGGGTGCCTGAGGATGGCACAGGGACAGTCGGGGGAATATCGCTCGAGGAGCTTTTTCCCGAGCTGCAAGGCAGCTTCTGAGACTCTCTTTTCTAGGCGCCTCAAAACTCGCCTCTGTTTTTTAGGCGCCTCGAAACTCGTCTCTGTTTTCGAGGCGCCTCAAAAACAGTCAGGGTAACGACTCTGGAGGAGTGCTTTCCTATCCCAAGCTTCAAGACCCCTTCAAATCTCTGCTTCAGTTACGCGTTCATGCTTTGCCGCCTTACCACAATCTCCGCAATAGACTTATCAAGTCCTCATTCATACCTTTTTTCCTAGTCCTACGAAGCAACCCACCCATACTTAGCTGAAAGTTTCAACGGTGACCACACGGCTTGCTGCGTTTCGAATCCTTCATTACTCCGCAAGAGGCTACCGCTTCAAGACCCCTTCAAATCTCTGCTTCAGTTACGCGTTCATGCTTTGCCGTCTTACCACAGAGTGTGGGGCAAAGGAGAACCAAACTTCGAGGCTTGAGATGTCTCGAAATTCCAGGATACGATTGTAGGACCAGGCTGAGTGGTTGACAGCCTCAGGCCTGCAGGGTCCTTATTAGTCATATGATCATATATATTTTCCGCAACTAGGCTTCTACCATAATATAATGTGTTCCTTTACTGGTCATTGTGCCCGTAAATAGGCAATGCATCTTGCAAATAGGCAAGACCTTTTTGTAACCTGTTCCGTTTTTAATTGATTGTTTCTGCTGCACGTTGACTAGTGAACCATCCATCGTCAATCAGGCTAGGAGCTCAGAGTCTCAGTCCCTCAACCAGCGCTGCAAGGATACTGCCACTAACCACAAAGCGAGCAGCGCCCAGCGCAAGGTGGGTAATCCCCAGTGCAAGGTGAGTGATGACCGGCGCAAGGAGAGTAGCCACACCACCTTGCAATGCAACACCATAGATGAGACAAGACACCCAACATTTGAGACGTCTCAAACACCATAGATGAGACAAGACATCCAACATTTGAGACGTCTCAAACACCATAGATGAGACAAGACATCCAACATTTGAGACGTCTCAAACACCATAGATGAGACAAGACATCCAACATTTGAGACGTCTCAAACACCATAGATGAGACAAGACATCCAACATTTGAGACGTCTCAAACACCATAGATGAGACAAGACATCCAACATTTGAGACGTCTCAAACACCATAGATGAGACAAGACATCCAACATTTGAGACGTCTCAAACACCATAGATGGGACAAGACATCCAACATTTGAGACGTCTCAAACACCATAGATGAGACAAGACATCCAACATTTGAGACGTCTCAAACACCATAGATGAGACAAGACATCCAACATTTGAGACGTCTCAAACACCATAGATGAGACAAGACATCCAACATTTGAGACGTCTCAAACACCATTGATGAGACAAGACATCCAACAACGCATCAGATGCAATGCAATGCAACACCATAGAGAGATATAAACACAATATCCAACATGATACAGCCATCGAAGCAGCAGGAACAACATTATTCAACCGCCACGGTGAATCATCTAAGCAGCAGCAGCAGCAGCAGGCGCTGGTTCTGGCAGGAACTGCACCGGAACATGCTGCAGCATCTGAGCCCACAGGTCTAGCGGCCCTGGAATGCAATCTGCAGCATCTGAGCCAGCCTTTCTTTGAGGCGTCTTGAAAAACATCTAAGCAGCAGCAGGTTCCGGCTCTGGCAGAAGCTGCAGCAGCACGTTCTGCAGCATCTGGGGCCACAAGTCCTGCGGCCCGAGCATGAACTTTCCAGCATCTCAGCCGGATAGCCCTTCCTTGAGGCGTTCCAGAAAAAAATTTAAGCAGCAGCAGCAGCAGCAGCAGCAGGTTCTGGCTCTGGCAGCAGCTGCAGCAGCACGTTCTGCAGCAGCTGAGCCCACACGTGCTGCAGCTCGGGAATGCAGTAGTGCAAGCACTCCTCGTGATTCAACTCCGGTATAACCCCTGGTGCGAGTCCGGTCGAAGCACCGTCACCGTGGGTCTAGGCAGCAGCAGGCACCGGCGCTGGCAGAAGCTGCAGCAGCACGTCCTGAAGCATCTGAGCCCACAGGTCCTTTTCCAGGCCTCATTTTGGCGTTCAAAGAACATCCCAGCAGCAGGAGCCGCAGCAGCATTGTGTCATCTAGGCGTCAACAGCAGGCGCCGGCTCTGGGAGTAATTGCAGCAGCACGTTCTGTAGCATCTGGGCCCACAGGTCCTGCGGGCCTGGAATGCAGTAATGCAAGCAGTCCTCGTGGTTCAACTCCGGAATGAACCCCTGATGCGAGTCCGGACGAAGCACCGTCATCGCCGCTACATCCAAGTACACGCCGCCCACCTCCTCCACTGCCGCCCGCGCCAGCTCGTTCTGCTCGTGAAACTTCCCCCAGAAGAACGGCAGGTTGTCCGTGGGACCCGGCACGAGCAGCGGCTTGTCGTGTTCCGAGCAGTTGGCATGGCCTTGCACGGTGGTTCGATAGATCAAGAGCGCGTCCGGGAGCTTGTTCCGGAGAAATCGCACCGTCGAACGGACCGCTGAGATGAAGTGTCGGTCCGGGCGGTAGTGCGCGCCGCGATTCAGTATAACCACGCGGGCGCCGGTGAGCAAAGAGAGGCGGGCGAAGGGGACTCGGTCGAACTTGATCTGCGAGTTGGAGAGCTGGAGGTAGTCGTGGCGAATGAACCGGATGGTGAGATTGGCGCACACGTTGCTGTGCAGCTTGTAGTCTCGACAGAAAGAGTGCCTGGCATGGTCTGGTTCGATCAGCTCGCTGCATTCCTTGGGGATCGTTTCCTCCACGGCCCACGTGGCGGGTTTCTTTACATGTGTAAGCATGTTGTTCACCAGCACGCGCACAAACTGCTCCTGTAACGAATCGCCTATAAGGAGTACAAGCGCGCCGCTCCCGTCGCCCTTCTCCCTCACAGCCTCCCCTTTGAAAGCCGCCTCTTCCCTCTCCTCCTCCTCCTCTTCTGTCAGCGGCATTCCTGTTCCATTCCACCTTCTCCCTCTCACCCAGTCACACACCACTGGGCCATCAAAAGCATCCCATGCCCCACACTTACCCTCCGTGTCCCACACGTATTTCAGCTGGGGCCGTACGTCCCACTCCTCCTGCCGCACCTTCCTCTCTTCTGGAGGAAGTTTCATAATGGAATCTGCGATTTGATCTGCTTTGGAGACCACGACAGCAGTAGGGGATGCTGCCATGTGTCTTTTGTCGCAGTAATTCGAGTAACCCTTGAATTCCCAGGGTAATCGCCTCGGCCTCGGGTCCATTTTCCAGCTGCCTTCTGCTGCCACACACTCCTGCCATTTCAGAAACTTTTCTTTCAGACCTGCCCGGCTGACCTTGCTACCTGGAATCTTCGTCCGGAACCCCTCCCCAGACCTGTCGAGGAGGTTCGGGTCAAAACTCTCCGAAGCAAACCCATCGTGGAGAACGCTTTCCAGGACCGTTCTCAACCGCTCAATACCGCAAGCCAGGGAACCTCTAGGCAAGTACACTGACGACCCACCACCTTTATCCCCATCCTCCTCCTCTGTATCCTCCCAAAAAGCAACCCCAGAAGCACCACCGGCACCAGCACCGGCATCACCATCGCCGCCACCTCCACCACTCCCGACCTCTCCCCATCTGTCTCCACCGCTCCCTGCCCCCGCATCTGCTGTCTCCACCACTGGTTCCTCTGGGCATTCCACCAGGTAGTGCTTCACACCTGCTGCCAACGCTAGGTTTCTGTACAGCTGCCTTCCCCCGTCCGGATACACTGACTCTGCACCGCTGCTGCTGCTGCTGCTGCTGCTGCTGCTGCTGCTGCTGCTGCTGCTGCTGCTGCTGCTGCTGCTGGTGCGAATTTCGATGACAGAGGAGTGGGAAGGCATGAAGAGGGTGTTTACAAGGGCATTATCGCAGGCGACGAACAGCAGAGCCCGTTGGAACAGCGCTCTGGCTGGGTGCCACGGGGAACAGGGTGGGAGAGGCGGGGGGGGGGAAGAGGGCATGAAGAGGGCATGAAGAGGGCATGAAGAGGGTATTTACGAGGAAGTTATCGCACACAACGAAAACCAGAGCTCGTCGAAACAGCGCCCTGGGTGGGTGGGAGCAGGGGAGGGGCAGCGCGGGGAGCTTGGAACGCAATTCAGATTCGAAACAGTCAGCCGACAAAATTATCGGCTATTCAGCTCAAAAGCAATGATGACAGCACGCCACTCACTTACCTTCTTGGAGCGGCATGTTTCGTCTGTACACGGCGACTCTATCCTCGGTATAGAGCTGCTTCAGTATCCATTTCACCGCACGTAGCGCTGCAGCCAGCGCAGCAGCTTGCACTGTGGGCAGACGGGATGGGGGAGCCGCCACCACCACCACCCAATCATGCTTCAAACGCCCATCTATAGACCCCATAAATCCCATAGGGACCACAGGCAGCTCCCCTGCTGCATCGTGTGCTCCTTGTTCTGCCAGACCCCCAGGTGCAGGGGGGCGGTAGGAGCCGTCTTGAGAGAAGAGCGGCAGGCCGGAGGGGGGGAAGAGGTGGCGGGCGCGGAAGGCGTGCAGGAGAGACGGGCTGGGGTGGCCGCATGGGGGAAATAGCGGCTGGTAGAGAAGGCGGTCAAAAGATGAGAGAGGGAAAAATGGGGGAAACGGGGAACGGGGAAGGAGGCTCAAAGTCTTGAAAAACCCCACGCCAGATACACAAGCATGCGTGCATACCATGTACAGCATGCGAGCAAAGAGCAGCGAGGAGTGCGACATGGCATGGATGGCAGGAGTGCGACATGACATGGATGGCAGGAATGCGACATGGCATGGATGGCAGGAGTGCGACATGGCATGGATGGCAGGAATGCGACATGTCATGGATGGCAGGAGTGCGACATCTCCTGGGTTCACCCCTCCTGGGTTCAACCCTCCTGCCTGGGTTCACCCCTCCTGCCTGGGTTCAACCCTCCTGGGTGCACCCCTCCTCCTGGGTGCACCCCTCCTGGGTTCACCCCTCCTGGGTTCACCCCTCCTGGGTGCACCCCTCCTGGGTGCACCCCTCCTGGGTTCACCCCTCAGGGATCAGTGAGGTGTGCGCCATGGCATGGATGACATTCGCTGTTTGTGTATTTGCGTGCAGTGCATGCAGTGCGTGGGCGCACTTACCATGTAGAGGGTGCGAGCAAAGAGCAGAGACGAGTGCGCCATGGCATGGATGGCACTCGCTGAGGGCCTCAACCCCACCGCGGCCTGCAGTGTGTGTATGTGGGCGCGCGTGAATGTGCTTGCACATGTGTGTGCTTGCAGTGCGTGCAGTGCAGTGCGTGCAGTGCAGTGCGTGCAGTGCAGTGCGTGCAGTGCAGTGCGTGCAGTGCAGTGCGTGCAGTGCAGTGCGTGCAGTGCAGTGCGTGCAGTGCAGTGCGTGCAGTGCAGTGCGTGCAGTGCAGTGCGTGCAGTGCAGTGCGTGCAGTGCAGTGCGTGGCCGCACTTACCATGTAGAGTGTGCGAGCGAAGAGCAGTGAGGAGTGCGACATGGCATGCACGGCACTCGCTGTGGGCCTCAACCCTACCACGGCCTGCCAGATGCCGCGCACCAACTGCCACGTAGGGAGAGGGAGGAAACGGGTGGGAGGGGGAGAGAAGACGCAAGGATGCATTAAAGCGTGTCTGTCTGAGCAGCTTTGGAACACCCAACCTAGCTTATGTGTCTCGCTCTCACAACTTACCTTTCTGTTCTGCACTGCAACTGGTATGCGCCTCAGCAGCAGCATGGCAGGCGCCAGTGACAGGAAGAGAGGAAGCTTCTCCGCCATTTCCGAGAAGACCACATCGGACGGCAAGCGGGCGGCGGAAAGAAGGTTGAGGAGGGAAGGGAAGGCGGCAAACTGGGTGCCTGAGGGGTAGTCGAACTGAGGGAAAAAGGGGGTTGGGGCGAGTTGGGGGTTGGGGGAGTGGGGTGAGGAAAGAAGGGGTGAAGAAGCAGAGAGGGGGTTGAGGAGGAGAGAGGGGGTAGAAGAGTGGGAGAGGAAAGTGGGGGGAGTATGGGATAGAGGGCAGAAGGCGTGGACGCAGAATGGAGAGGGATGAGGAAGGGGGAATGGCGGTGTCAAATAGGCGAGTCACTCACATCAGCCAATCGGTCGCCGCATCTCCCAGCGTCGAATAGATGCGTCTGGTTGAACACCTGACCCCTCCAATTCACAAACAGATGGAGAATGGAGGAAAAGTTGAGTCACTCACATCAGCCAGTTGGTCGCTGCATCTCCCGGCGTCAAACAGATGCGTCTGGTTGAACACCTGACCCCTCCAGTTCACGAACACGTTCTGCAGCCGGAAAAGCTGCCCGGACCATTCCTTCAGGTTGCCCGGATCCGGTATTTCCACCTGTAATGACTCCGGCCACTCCGCCTGCTCCTCCAAAAATCTTTTCATTTTCAAGACCGCTTCTGCACACTGTGCTGGGACGACCCTGGTCATCTCAAGCTCATCTGGGATCTCCGGGCAGAATGCAGGGAACTTTTTCTGCTGCCCGGAGGGGGTCTGATCAAATAGGTCAACGAATTCTCTGTTCCAGCATGCCTCAATCTGCCCCAGGGCACCTGAGCAGGGTGAAAAATCCGGGCAGCTCCCTCCTTTACACCCCCCTCCTCTCCCCCGCACATCCCCTCCTCCTGCATAGAAACCCAAGGAAACAACCGAGAGATCTGCACCATTGATTCGCGCGGTCGTGGATTCATCAGCCGCCACGGGCCTCTGTGGGCCGTCGGATTCCCCAGATGCGCCTTCCCAGAGTACCACCTCCGATCCTGATGCTCCCTGAGCGCGACCAGCTCGACCAATCAGCTTCCTCCTGCTGACGCTGCTATCATCGCCTGTCCAATCGCTGCTGCTGCTGGACCCGATTCTAGTGTCAGCTCTGGCGCTGGCTGGCGAGGAAGCAACGGGCCGCGAATGGACTGACAGGTGGAGAAAGACGAGGAAGAGGAGGATGGATTTGTATGGAAAGAGCTGCGTGTAGCCGAACCGGAGTGTCATTTCAGAGCCTAGGGAGCATCAGAAGTCGGTCATTGAGGCGCGGAGCGACACGGATAGCGAGGGGTAAGAACCTGCTGCACAAGACTCCTCCAATCAGACTCATTCAAGAAGTGAGAGTAGGACTAACTTAGGCCAGACCGACCAGACTTCCTTCAGACCGAGGGACGCACGACGCGCAACGTGCTCACAAATTTTGAGTCGCATATCCCAAGAATCGGCTTTCTCAATGTATTGCCAAACGGAGTAGTATTGACTAGTATCGACAGTTCAAACTGTGCACTTTTGTGCAAGAACGGATGGTAAGCCACAACTGGTGAAGTGGGAGTGGAAAACCGCGCTGAGAGATTCGACCTAGCGGAGCAACTGACGGCGGTAGCACAAACCCGCCGAAATGCTGTTACTGGACGACCCAATGCCAGCTTCAGGCAGAACAATGCAGGTAGGAATGCGAGAAAAACACGAATTGACAAGCGAAAGAGCGAGCGGACGGCAAGCGGCTGGAGTGGCAGGCAGGTGATGCTGTTTTTGACTGATTCAATCATAACGCTTTCAATATCTGATCTGTGTGCTTCCATCCAGACCGGATTGAATAGAATTTCCGATAGCGAGGATGTGTGCTCATGTTGTTGCAATACTTGTTCACTTGTTTTATTGCACACGTAACACATAGTGTAATGATTGGTTATTGAGCTTAAATTAGCACAAAACACCCAAGCTGCGTTTCCTCAATCGCTGAGCTCGAGGATTTTCGTCGATGCTGTGGGTGCTGGGCGTGAGCGAGGGTATACCACCAGGCACAAGTATCGCCAAGCTTTTCCCCGCTTGCATGCTCCCACCCACGCCTTGGGCGAATACGCGCGCAAGCCAGCGAACCAATCAGCTGCTTCTAAAACTTTCGGCATATTCGTCAGCCCCCACCACATGAGCCATGCATCCGAGAATTACTGTGCATTTCGCCGTTTCGCCAGCTCAAGCACCGTTTGGGCAAATGCGGCGTTCACTTTGTGCTGACTCCACCCCCAGAACCAGGAACTGATCGACAGGATATTCAGCCACCTCGGGTTCTAATAACGAGACAAGCCTCGCTTTCCGATTCCTATGCCCAACCGTGTTTCCCCTCGATACAAGCTGCCCAGCGCTGAAACTTCTGCGCCAAACTCCCATCTCCCGCCAAAGTGTGTCCCCCCAATCTCCCCCCTACTTCCCCCAACCTGCCTGTCCTTTCATTCTGCGAACCTCGGGATTTGCTGGCTCCTTCAAATACCCCAGCCTGTTCATTGATCGTACTTGCAGATCTTTTTCTGATCCCTTGATCCTAGTTCCTTTTGTCAATCACCATTCCTTTTCTTCATGGTCGCTGGATTTCACACGCGACCTAAGGCGTTGTCAGCTCGGCATCGCGCCGCCTGTCGGTGGTTAGTGGGGAATTCTCGAGTAGATTGATGTCCCAGCAACCGGGTAGGGCCGATAGATCGGATCAGGCGAACCGGAAAGGGAGAGGAGGCGGGACGAGCGGTCCTCGCCAGCAGGGGGTACCGCAGGGAGGAAAGGGGCCCAGCCCCGTAGTTAGCGGTCAGAGCTCAGCTGCCGGCTCATCTGCCGGCTCGGCTGCCGGTCCGGGAGCCGGACGCGGTCAACCGCAAGGAGTGGGACGAGGGTATGTGATCCGATGTTTCTAAGCGCACTGGACTTACGGTTACGGTTAGCGTGTCATACATAGTTGCACATTGTAGTTAGTAGCATGTGGTAATAAGCAGCTTATACTAGAGAATCGCTTACTGCGGATTAATAGCAGATCGTAGGTATTAGCATATCATTAGTCGCAGCTCGTAGGTTATAGCATATCGTGAGTAGTAGCAGCTTGAGTAATAAACATCTTAAGAGTGGATGACTGTAGATATTAGCTTACTTGCAGCCGTTCGTATGTGGAGCATACATGGAGATGATCTAAGTTTCCCCTTCCGTAAATCTTTCGTTTCAGTTTTCCGCAACAATTAGTTTTGTGATCTGCTCAAGCCAGCTGGTCCGTCTGATCCGTTAGGTTACTTAATCAGCAGTTATAGAGACATCGATGCCGCGGAATCGGACATTCGGGCGTGATCTGGCATTCAGCCCTGAGATAGCGCTGTTCCATAGTTTCGCGGATTGACCCCTTTTGACGCGTGTTTGCGAGATTTTCCGCAGCCAACAGATGGACCGTTTGTTCGTTCCAGTCTCGTTCAAGGCTGCATGCTTTCGGAACCTAGGTCGCCCTGCGACACTCTCGCTTGGCTTTTTCCGTCCATACTTGATCCCAGATATATTTATATTTTTTCACAGATTCCCCTCACCGTTATGCGGATCTTATATCTCTTTTCAAATTCCGCCTTCCCCCACTCCAGGTTCCGCCGGACGCCAAATGGCCCCGCGGAAGGCGCATCTAGCGCCGGTGGTGCCGGCAGAGGCGGCATCGGTCGGGGAAGCGGGCAGGGGATGCCAGGAGCGGGAATAGGCGGAGCTGCCGGCGGATCCGGCGGAGGTCCGGGCGGGTATCGTGGAGCAACAGGTGGGCATATTGTGTGGGAGAGGGAGAAAAGATACAGTAGCTGCATGTACTGTAACAAACGTTAGATGCTTACAGATTGTCGTGCCGGAGTTGGTTGGTCAAGACAGAAGAAAGCCACTCTCTGAAACATAAGTACATACATACGCTGGTTTCCAGAAAAAAAGGAATTTAACTCAGACAGTCGTTATATTCAGCTAGAAGTTTGACTGGTATTCGGTAGTGTTTTCTACTAGTCGTGCGCCTCACCTTGGAGATTCAGCCTTGGTATGCCAAGTTGCCACGATTTCTCATGGGGCGTGATTCATTCGCTAGCTGGGGCGAGGATTATTTCGAGGCAGAATCGGCATGTTTAGCCTGTGTTTTCATGTTCGCCTTTTGTATTGATACCCATTCAACGGACTTTCCTGTTCGATTGCTTTCCTTCGCTGGTGCAGGTCCTCAGTCACAGCAAAGATATGGATCAACAGCAGTCGCGGGAAACGGTCCCACACCAGCAGCAGCGCCTGCGCCTTCCGCGTGGGGTGCGGGCCTTGCGCGCACAAGTGCGCCTACCCCCGCCGCTTCCGGCACCCAGCAGCAGCGGCAGCAGCAGCAACCAGCGGTGCAGCTGTCATCCGGCCCGGGGATTCCAGGTTTTGAGTCTGCGCCTCCCCCTGCGGATTCCGCCTTCCCCGGCCTTTCCCGCTCCACGTCCGCGGGCGGAGCAGCAGCTCGGCCGGGGGCTCCGGGCGTAGCTGGGCCGGGCGCAGGCGCCCCTGCGCCAGTAGTAGGGTCTGGGGGAGCGCCTGGCGCAGGGCCTGCGGGTGTGCCTGCGCCGAGAATATCGTTTGCAGCTGCAGCAGCTTCTGGGGGGATGTCGTACGCGCAAAGAGCGGCGCAGGCGCTGAATCGCGCGGCTGCACCGCCCGCCCAAGCGCAACAGGCGCAGGTACAGGCGCAGCAAGCGCGGGTGGGCGGAAGCGGGGCGCAGCAAGCGACAGGTCAAGCGGGGGAAGCCGCGTCACAGGGGAAGGCGGACGCTGCTAAGCCGCCGCAGGGCACGGAAACAGCAGCACAGGCGGGTAGCGCATCTCAAGCAGCTGTGCAGAAGCAGCAGGATCAAACACGCACCCAGCAACAACAGCAGCAGCCGTGGCAGGGTCAGAAGCCTCAAGTCCCAGCAGCAGCAGTTGCTGCAGGCACGGGCAGCAGAACTGCAGTTTCCACACCAACCGCAGCAGCAACTGTAATCCCTACAGCCACAGCAACCGCTACCAAGCCTGTTGCTCCGTCCGCCACAACCGCTACTGTTACTGCTGCAACGGTTGCGGCGGCTTCTGCAGCAGCAGCAGCTGTTTCTGCTGCGTCAGGCGCTTCTGCCCCAGCCCAGTCGTTCGCAGCGGCAGCTGCTGCTGGGGCCGCGGCTGCATCTTCCAAAGTGCCTGCCGCAGCGGCCACCAAACCAGGCCAAACGCCTGTTCCCCAGACCTCCAGCGCAGGCTCGGCAGCAGCACCGGCGGGATCCCTCACAGGGTTCTTGTCAGCTGCGCGCGCAGGGCTAGGGGAGGGCGCAGGCACAGGCGCAGGGGCATCTGGTGGAGCGGGGGCGGACGGGGGTCAGGGAGCAGCGGGCGGGGCGAAGGGTAGCGCGAAGGGGGGGGCGAAACCACCGGTGAAGGCTCTTGGTCCTGCTGCGGCTGTAGCGGGGCCTCCTGCTCTTCCCCCTGGCGTATCGCCTGTAGCTCTGCAGTTCGGCACGTTCAACCCTAACTTCATGGGCGCCAGCGGCCCCGTTATTGTATGCCCCGGTTCCCCTTTCTCTCACCTTCGCCCTGCCCGGGCATTGTATGCCCGGGTTCCCCTTTCTCCCCTCCTCGCTCCTGACCCGTTTGACGTTTTCCTCTTTCGTCCTCTGTCTCTCACTACTTGAGCTGCTTGTCTTCGCGCCTCCGCTGCGATTGCTAAAACTGTCAATGATGCTCAAGGAGCGTTATTCCTCTTGCCTCCTTGCCTTCTCCGTGTATTCACCATCTTTGCTGTTCCATTTTCCCGCCTGCTGCTTCCCTGGCTACTACTGCAGGTTCCCCCTCGCACCACCTCTGCTCCGCCCAATCTGGACGAGCAACAGAAGGAGCAGGTACACCATCAAACCCACTGTGGTTCTCTCTCTGCCCTTGCTCGCAGCCTGACCTTCCCTTCACCACTGTGTTTTTATTTTTGCGTCACTCAAGCTTTTTCTTCTCTCTTCTCGCATCAAGTTCCTCTTTCTTCCACAGCTTTCTTCGTCACCCGTCGCCCCCACTCTTGTCCCTCGCATTGGTTGTTGTCGTGTTTTTTTTCCCATGTACTCGTTCTTCCTGCCCCTCTGACCCAACAATTATTATCTCCCTGTCTGTCCCATGTCTTTTTCCTGCCCATTAGGCCTGGCACGAGGCCAGCAGTAAGCAGCCAAGTCCGAACCTTCACACACACCCTGATTTTCCCTGCCTACCTGCCTTTCTGCCGCCCCGTGTCTTTCCCGTGTCTTTCTCCTGCTCATTAGGCCCGGCACGAGGCCATGCTTCGCCAGCAGCAAGCAGCCAAGTCCGGAGAAGCAGGGGCAGCTAAAGCCCCTATCGGAGGAAGCATCCCAGAAGAATCTCAACAGGTGTTGCCAGCTCCCGATGCTCCCGCCCCCACTAGTGGCAGCGGCATTACTGCTCCAGTCGCTGCAGGGGCGGGAGGAGCCTCAGGGATAATAGCAGGGGCGCCAGCAGGGGCAGCAGCCGCAGCAGCAGGAGCAGCAGGAGGAGCAGGAACAACAGTTGGGCAGAACGGTGGGGGGGTAGCAGGGGGAGGAGGGGGGGCGGGGAGGGGGATGGGAAGAGGGGGGCAGCAGATGCATGGAGGGGGGAGAGGGGGCGCGGGGATTTTGTCGTCCGCTGGGGTCAGCGCATGGGGCGCAGGCGCTGCAGGTTCGGGCGCGCCTGGCGCAGGTGCTGCGGGTGCAGCTGGGGTAGGTGCATCTGGCGCAGGTGCAGGTGTGGCATTGGGAAGTGAGGTTGGAGTAGCAGCGGCACGGCCGAACCAACAGCAGCAGCAGCAGCAGCAGCAGCAGCAGCAGCAGCAGCAGCAGCAGCAGCAGCAGCAGCAGCAGCAGCAGCAGCAGCAGCAGCAGCAGCAGCAGCAGCAGCAGCAGCAGCAGCAGCAGCAGCAGCAGCAACAGCAGCAGCAGCAGCAGAGACAACAGCAACAGCAAAGACAGCAGCAGCAACAGCAGCAGCAGCAGCATCAGCAGCAGCACCTGCAGCAGCAGAGATTGCATCAACACCAGCTTCAGCAGCAGCAACAGCAGCAGCAGCCTCGCGGTCAGGGCTTTCAACAACCTCCTTTTCAGCACCAACACATTCCGCTACACCAGCAGCACCCGCACGCACCAGGGCAAGTCCCCATCCCTCTGCAACAGCAACAACAACAGCAACAGCAACAACAACAGCAGCAGCAGCAGCAGCAGCCGCACAGACCCCAACACCCGGGGCAGCCATCTCAGCAACCCCCACAGCCCTCCCCTCCTCCGCCGCTCGTTCAACCGCCCTTGCAGCCTCTTCCCGCCCCTCACATACGCCCTCCCCTGATGATGCCTGGCGGCCAACCTCAGCTACAACCGGGCCAGCTACAACCGGGTCAGCTGCAGACTCAGCTGCAGGGTCCGCTACAGCAGGGCCCGCTACAGCCAGGCTCGCTACAGGCTCAGATACAGAACCAGCTACAGCAGCTGCCGCCCCACTTGCATGCTGCCATGGCGCTACAGCAACACGGGCACGGCCTTCCGCCGCACATGCAGCATCCCGGGTTACACCAGCCAGGATTGTCTCCTCAACCGGGGATGGGGATGGGTCAGCAGCAGCAGCAGCAGCAGCAGCAGGCGCAGCAGCAACAACAGCAGCAACAACAGCAGCAACAACAACAGATGCAGCTGCAGCAGCAGCTGCAGTCACAACAACAACAGCAGCAGCAGCAGCAGCAGCAGCAGCAGCAGCAGCAACAACAACAGCAGCAACAGCAGCAACAACAGCAACAGCAGCAGCAACAACAACAGCAGCAGCAGCAGTTGCAGCAGCAGCAAGGTCAGGGACCTCACCCTTCCCCTCCCCCTCCCCAGCAACAACTCCAACAGCAGCAGCAGCAGATGCAACAGCAGCAGCCACCGCATATGCTGCAGCACCAGGCGCAGCAACACATCATGGTGGCTTACCAGCAGCACGGCCCGTCTGGCATGACCATTCAGTACGGCACTGTTCCAGCAGGACCCCAGTATCCAGGCATGCAAAACCCTAAGCCCTCTGCGCTGCTACAGCCGCGGGCAAGCCGGGCACTTAAAATTATGGATCCGACCACTCAGAAAGAGGTGAAGGTGGAAAAGGTGCCCGCGACTAAAGCCAAGCCCGGGGCAGGAGCAGCAGGGGCAGGAGCAGCAGGAACAGGAACGGGAGCAGCAGGAGGAGCAGGAGGAGGGGCGAGGGGAGGGACGGGCGCAAGGGCAGGGGCAGCAGGAGGAGCAGGGGAGGGCGCAGGTGCGGGGGCAGGGGGAGCAGCAGGAGGGGCAGCAGGGGGAGCAACAGTGGGGGCAGCGGGGAGAGGTCCATCAAGCGCCACTACCTCCCCTGCTCCTCACGGGCTTACCTCAACCCCTGCAGGCCTGACCTTCGAAATTCCAGCCCAACCATCCACTCCAGGTTCTGCCCCCACCACTCCTCACGGCGGACTAGTCTCCCCAGCCGGTGCTGGGGCGGCCGCAGCAGGGGTGGCCGGCCGGGGGATGCCTATTGGGGTGGCGGCGGCAGCTGCAGGCGCGCGCCCCCCCATGGGGTTCGCGCAGCCCGGGCACATGCTTCCATCCATGTACTATCCGGGGATGCCTGGTGTGGGGGGAGTGCCAGGGGTGCCGGGGGTGGCAGGTGTTCCCCCCGGTGCCTTCCCCCAGGCGCGATTCTTTCCCCCACAGCAGCCTGGGCCTATGCCAGCAGGCGGGGGGATGGTCGGGGGGCCGGGAGGGGGGATGGGCGGACCAGGGGCAGGCGGGCAGGGTAGGTTTACCCCCCCGTATCCGCAGCAGGCGGGGCATGGCGGGGGGGTGAGGCCGCATATGGGACACGTTTTGCCACACCAGCAGATGCCAGGGGGCGGGCCGGCTGGTATGGTGCACTATGCCACTGGTGCCGTTCCTGGCGCCGTGCCCGGTGGTTCAGGTTCGGGAGCGGGTGGTCCGGGCGCTGGCGGGGCTGGTTCGGGGGCAGGAGAGGAAATGCCCATGCCTGGGATGGATGGTATGGGGAACATGCCTGTGTCGTCGCCGGTAGGTCCAGGGCCAGGTATGGTGATCCCAAACCTGCCGATGATGGCTCCTGTAGGTTCGGGAGGGCCGGGTGTGGGGGGGTATATGATGGGCGCAGGGACAGGGTTTGTGATTCCAGGGCATGGGCGGGGAGTTGGGGGAGGAGGGGGAATGGGGGGAGGGGGAAGGGCAGGGGGGATGCACGGGAGGGGGGCAGGGGGACCAGGTGGGGCAGGGGGACCAGGTGGGGCAGGGGGACCAGGTGGGGTAGGGGGCACAGGTCCTGGGGCGGGTAGGGGAAGCGGGGTAAGTGCACAGGTCATGTCTTCGAATCGAATCGTAGTGTCGACAACAGGAGGGGTTACCAATTTGCCATCGCCAGGTTCGGGAGTGCGAGACAGGCCTGGGGCAGGTCCGGATGGGCTGAAGAGGTCCGGGAGCGGTAAGACAACATGGCCAGTGGTTAGGAGCCCCTCTGGTGGTGCTTCGGGGCAGCAGGGGAAGGAGGAGAAGGGAGAGAAGGAAGGGGAGGAGGGTGTGGGTGGGGCTGTGGTGGAAAAGAAAGAGGAGGGTGAGAAGGGCGAGGAGAATCGAGCGAAGGGGAGTGATGCGGCTGTGGCAAATGGAGAACAGAATGTAGCAGGGAAGAGTGAAGAGGTTCAGGCGAAGAGCAAAGAGGAGGTGGCAGCGAAGGTCACAGGCGAGCCAGTTGCAGCAGAGGGGGGTGTGGGGAAAGAGGCTGCAGGGAAGGAGGGTGAAGTGAAGGTGGTAGAAGGGAGGGATGTGAAGGACGGTGGTGATGCAAAGGCGAAGGTTTCAAGCGAGGAGGAAGAGAAAAAGGCAGGCGGGGAGGCGACTGGTGCTGAGGCACCTGCTGCTGCTCCTGCTGCTGCTTCAGCTGCAGCGGTTGCTCCTGTGGTGGCGAAACCAGTGGAGGAGAGTAAGGAAGGAGAGGGGTTAAGTGGGGAGGCGGGCGCCGCAAAGGAGAAAGGAGAGGAGAAGAAGGGTGGGAAGAAGAAAGACAAGAAGGAGAAGAAGAAAAAAGGAATTGAGAAGGGAGAGGAGAAGGATGCAGGCAAGAAAGAGGCGGGAGAAGCAGTGCCGGAGCCGGAGGGGGAGAAGGCTAAAGGAGAGGAGAAGGAGGTTCAATTGCCCTCCACATCTCAAGTTACGACAGTTGCTGCTGTTGTTGCAACAGCTGCCGCAGCTGTTGCCTCTACAGCCGTGGCTGCTGCAGTCGGTACAGCTGCTGCTACTGCTGAGGGCAAGAACGAGGCTGCCGAAAACGCGGGTGCTGAAGGGAGTGCTGCTGTTACGACCGAAACCCTTCAGGCAGCTGAGGGGAAAGAGGGGGCTAAGGAGTCGGAGGCGACTGGTGAAATAGTTAAGGAGGGGGATAAGAAGAAGGGGGAAGCAGAAGTGGATGAGAAGGGTAAGGAGGAGGAGGGGGAGAAAGTGGAAGGGAAGACGAAAGAGAAGAAGGTGGAGGAAAGTGCTGAGGTTGTTCCTGCTAAAGCAGAAGAGAGCAAGGAGGCGAAAGAGGAGAAGGAGAAGGAGGAGGAGAAGAAGGAGGGTAAGGTTGAAGAGTCTGATGTTAAGGGTGGGATTGAGAAGGGAGGGGAAAAGGCCAAGTCAGCTGCTGCTGCTGCTGCTGCAGCGGCGGCAGCAGCAGCTGCCACTGCTGCTGCAGGCACAGCCGTGGCTGCTGCTACAGCCGCTGCTGCCACAGCTGTTGTTGCTCCTGCCAAGAAGAAAAAGCTGAAGCAAGTTTTGGCAGAGAAAGAAGCTGCTGAGTCTGAAATGCTGAGTCTGAAGCAAGCTCCTGACCTCTATAACGCGTACACGACTAATGCTGCCAAGGGCAAGGAGGCAGAAGGGAAGAAGGCAGAGGGGAAGGTGCAAGAGCAACCAGGGTCTGTGGCTGGTGAGGTGACTGTGGAAGAAAAGGCGGGCGAGGCTGCTAAGGTAGCAGAGCAAGAGGAGGAAAAGAGAGAAGAGGAAGTGGATGATTGGGAGGAAGCAGTGGATACAGATGCTGCTGGGAAGGGCCGTGCTGGGAAGGCGGGAGGAGGAGAGACAGGGGCTGCGGGTGCCACCCCTGCTGCTGCCGCTGCCGCTGCAGCAGCAGCTGCTGCAGTAGCTGCTGCCACTGCAGCAATCGGAGCAGCAGGTAAAGGCCCAGGAGCAACAGCAGCAGCAGGCGCAGCAGCAGGTGCAGCAGTAGGCACACCAGCAGGCACAGCGGTGGCAGCTGCGGCACAGAAAGGAGCGAAGGGCGCAGAGGCTGCTGCAACCAACGCGGATGGCTCGTTCAAGTATTCTCGAGACTTCCTCCTCACACTTAGAGACTCTCACAGGGACCTCCCAGGCGACATGGACTTCCGCTCCTTTCCTACGCGAGTGTAACGCCGTGCTGAAACCGCCTGCTGCACAAAGAGTACAGCAGATGGCGGCTCAGGGGTTCAATCGCCCTATGGACGCCCTTTCGGGTGCACCTGGGGGAGGTTTGAACCGGCCAGGTATGGACGAGGACCGCTGGGCGAGAGGGCCAGGAATGGGCCCGAGAGGTCCGGGCGGAGGTATGGACGGAGGGGTGCTGGGCCCGCCTGGAGGTCCGGGGTTCAGAGGTCCGGGAGGCGGGCCGCCTATGGGTATGGGAGGCCCGGGGATGCGGGGAGGAATGGGGGGACCAGGGGGGCCGTTGCTGGGGAGGGGGGATAGGGGGGTGTTGCCTCATGGTGCGCCTGGGATGGGGGGACCTGGGGGGATGCCTATGGGTGGTCCGAGGGGAGGCGTGGATGCAGATAGATGGCAGAGAAACCCGATGCAGAACCGACCTGCTGCACCTGCGGGACCCCCGCTGCCTGCGATTCACAAGACGGAGAATCGGTACAAGGCAGGGATGGTGTCGGATGAAGAGGAAAAGAAGCAGCGGCAGATCAAGGGGATTCTGAACAAGCTGACGCCTCAGAATTTCGATAAGTTGTTCAATCAGGTGAAGGAAGTGCAGATTGACTCTCCTGAGACGCTCACAGGGGTGATTGGGCAGATTTTCGACAAGGCGTTGTTAGAGCCCACGTTTTGTGAGCTGTATGCGAAGTTCTGCCAGGCGTTGTCTGTCGAGTTGCCTCAGTTTGGGGAGGGGAATGACCGGGTGACGTTTAAGCGCACGCTTTTAAATAAGTGCCAGGAGGAGTTTGAGCGAGGGGATCAGGAGCAGCTGGATGCTGAGAAGGAGGAGGAGGAGGTGGAGGTGGAAGAGGAGGAGGAAGGGGAGGGGAAGAAAGGGGAAGGGGAGGGGAAAGATGGGGCGGACGGGAAGGCGGAAGAGAAGAAGGAAGGGGGGGAGGAAGGGAAGAAGGAAGTGGAGGAGGGTGGGAAGGACGAGAAGAAGGAAGGGGCCAAGGGAGCGAAGGTTATGGTAAAGAAGATGGTGAAGTTGACGGAGGCGGAGAGGCAGAGCAGAAGGCAGAAGGCTCGGAGGCGCATGCTGGGGAATATCCGCTTTATAGGAGAGCTCTATAAGATGAGCATGCTCACGGAGCGCATCATGCACGGATGCATCCAGAAGCTTCTAGGAAACACTGAGGTGGGTCCTTTGATACTGTTGATACTGATTCCAGTGTGGGTTAGTTCGTCACAGCACAACTCCTTTCCACCACTAATTATTCTGTGTTAGAGTGTCGTGTCGGGCATTGTGTGCTAGTCGGGCATTGTGTGCTAGTCGGGCATTGTGTGCTTTTCTTTCCCATTGTGTGCTTTTCTTTCCCATTGTGTGCTTTTCTTTCCCATTGTGTGCTTTTCTTTCCCATTGTGTGCTTTTCTTTCCCAGGATCCGGACGAGGAGGACATGGAAGCGCTCTGCAAGCTACTAGCCACCATCGGGCACATCATGGACCCCTGCACGCTCCCGCCTGCTCCCCACTGCTGCCCCTGCTCTTCACCCCTTCAGGACCTTAGAGAAGGACATGGAAACTCTCTGCAAGCTACTAGCCACCATCGGGCACATCATGGACCCCTGCTCCCCTGCACGCTCCCCCCCGCTCTTCACCCCTTCAGGATCCGGACGAGGAGGACATGGAAACCCTCCGCAAGCTTCTGGCCACCATCGGGCAAATCATCGACCACGAGAAAGCTCAGAGCCACATGGAGGCATACATGGCCCACATAGCCCACTTCTCCACCTACCAGAAGCTCCCCTGCATGCTCCCCCCTGCTGCCCCCGCCCTTCGCCCTCCCAGGACCCGGACGAGGAGGACATGGAGGCCTTGTGCAAGCTGCTCGCGACCATCGGGCAAATCATCGACCACGAGAAGGCACAGAGCCACATGGAAGCATACATGGCGCGCATAGCCCACTTCTCCACCTACCAGAAACTCTCCTCCCGCATCCGCTTCGGCCTGCAAGACATTCTCGAGCTCCGGGAGAACAAGTGGCAGGCCAGGCGGAAGGTCGAGGGGCCCAAGAAGATCGACCAGGTGCATAGGGACGCGCGGGACGAGCGGTCCAATGCTGTCGCGACAGCTGGCAGGCAGATATTGGAGCGCGGGGGCGGCGGGAGCAGGGGCCCGGGTGGTGGTATGGGGAGCGGGCGGCGGCCGGAGTATGGCATGGAGCCGCCCGGGCGGCCGGGTTTGGCTGGGTCTGGGCCGATGAGGGGCGGCCCGGGGCTGATTGGGGGGCAAGGGGGGCCGGGGGGAGGGATGTATGGGCGGGGGCCGGGGTATGGGCACCCTGGGGGGATGGGGGGAAGAGGGGGAGGCCCTGGCGGGTATGAGGGGAGAGGGGGAATGGAGGATATGGGTCGCCCCATGCCCCTCCCCCAGAGGAACATGGAGGAGGGGGAATTGAAGCTGGGGCCGCATGGGGGGCTGGGGAGACCTGGGGGAGGGGGCCCAGGGGGAGGCATGGGCGGGGGGATGAGGGGGGGACCTGGGGGACCTATGGGGGGACCCATGGGGGGGCTTATGGGGGGCCCAGGGCGGGGGGGACCTGAAGGTCCCCCTGGCGCCATGCCTCCGGAGATGCGCAGGTTCGGGCCGAGCCAGAGCGAGAGGTTCGGGCCGAGGGTGGGGGAGATGGGGGGCCCGAGGGGCGGGGGGGATAGAGACGCGCCGATGAGGGCTGGCCCTGGCGGGTATGGGGAGAGAGGGGGGGAGAGAGAAGGGGGGCGGGGGCTAGTAGGCCCTGGGTCTAGGAGTATGATGATGGGGAGGGGACCTGGGCCTGAGGCGAGGGGGTATGGTGGGCGGGGGATGGGGATGGAGCGGGAGAGGGAGAGGGAGGTGGATGCATGGAGAAGAGGCACGAGAATTGATGAGGAGCCGCAAGCAGGTGGAGGCAGGGAGGCAGGGAGGGATGGGTGGAGGGAAGCGGGGAGAGGAGATGGAGGGAGAGGGGACGTGGGGAGAGGGGGAGGGCCGGGAGTGGGGCCAGGGGCAAGAGAGGGAGCAGGAGGAGCAGGAGGGGCAGCAGGAGCAAGAGGAGCAGGGGCAGCAGCAGAGACGGGAGGAGGAGCGGGAGCAGCAGGGGGGGCGGGAGGGGGAGCAGTAGGGGCGAAGGCGGGGGCAGGGATGGATGAGGAGGGTGCTGTGGCGAAGGCGAACAGTGCTGTGGAAGAATTCCTCAGGTGAGAAGTCACTTCTCCAATCGGGAAAGGGAAATTGGCCACGTAATGGCAGACTTAGAAGTCACCTTGGGTGGGGAGAAGGCCGTTGTGCATTGAGCAGCTGCAGGCGCCGCAGCATTAACAGCCCCTTTTCCTCGTCACGCTTTCTGATTAGGGCCCCTCGTTTCCTCCTCCGTTTTTCGTTCCTCTCACAGTGCATGTGATTTCAAGGAGGTGATTGTGTGCACCTTGGGTGGGGAGAAGGCCGTTGGTGCATCGAGCAGCTGCAAGCGCCGCAGCAACAACGGCTCCCTCACACCTTCTAATCACTGCCTTTTCTCCCTCTTCTCCTTTCCTCTCCCCTCCTTTTTATCTGTTTTCCCACAGTGCCCGTGACTTCAAGGAAGTATGCCTGTGCATTGAGGAGCTACAGACGCCGCAGCATGAGCAACACTATCAGAGTGTTCAATCGCTGCTGTTTCTGCCTTTCTTTCCCCCTTGTCATTTTTCCCCCCCTTCACAGTGCCCGCGACTTCAAGGAAGTCTGCCTGTGCATTGAGGAGCTGCAATCCCCGCAGCATCACGGGGCGGTAGTGGCGGGGTGTGTGGCGGCAGGGCCCTCGCACCTTCTAATCACTGCCCTCGTCTCTCACCTCTTCCTTCCCGTCCCCTCTCAGTGCCCGTGACTTCAAGGAAGTCTGCCTGTGCATTGAGGAACTACAGTCGCCGCAGCATCACGGGGCGATAGTGGCGGGGTGGGTGGCGGCAGGGCTAGACAAGAAGGAGGCGCAAAGGCAGCAGGTGGAGGATCTGGTGGTGCGGCTGTGCTGCGAGCCCAAACCCTCGCTCTTCACGAGCGACCAGATTCAGCAAGGGTAGGTGACCCTCTGGCACACACATGGCAGGTCAGGTGGGGCAGGGGGAACAAGGGTAGGGGTGGCGGCAGGGCTGGACGAGAAGGAGGCGCAGAGGCAGCAGGTGGAGGATCTGGTGGTGCGGCTGTGCTGCGAGCCCAAGCCGCCGCTCTTCACGAGTGACCAGATTCAGCAAGGGTAGGTGCATGGATAGGGGAGGTGGGGTGCAGGGTGCAGGGTGCAGGGTGCATGGTTGAGGGTTCGGGGTTTAGGAGAGGTGCGTGCCCCTGTTGAATTGATTTTTGAATCGACTCACTATTTTGAGTCGACTCACTACTTTGAGTCGACTCAAGAATAGTCGACTCAAAAACAGGGTTGAGGGTTTGGGGTTTAACAGGAGGTGCGTGCCTCTGTTGATTTCTTCTCTCTTCCTCCCTCTCTCTTCCTCCCTCTCTCTTCCTCCCTCTCTCTTTTCCCTCTTTCCCTCCCCCCTTACATTCTCGTTCATTGCCCCTGTCGACTCTGCTCCCTTCTATCGCACATCCCACTCAAGTCATCCCACTCACGTTATGCCCCCTGTCCCCCTTCCCGCCCACCCATTCCCATCTTCCCTTTCTTCCTCCTCCTCCCCCTTCCCCCCCCCCCCCCCCCCCCCCCCCCCCCCTTTTTCCCTCTTGCCAGTCTGGTGAGAGTCTTCCAGGAGCTCGAGGATTGGTCAGTTGATGCCCCCAAGGCCCCGCAACACGTGGGCCGTCTGATTGGCCGGCTCGTGGCAGCTGGCGCCGTCCCATTGGCTGACGTGGCCCGGCTGGTGAAATCAGGCGGTGCAGAGGAAGGGAGTCTGGTGGAGATGGGTGAGGGGATGAAGGTGATGGCAGCAGTGGTGGGCGCGGTGAGGGGGGAGAAGGGGGAGAAGGAGGCGGGGGAGATGGTGCGGGCGGCGGGGATAGATGGACCCGAGGAATTCATGGAGGAGAGAGCGAGAGGGAGGAAGGAGAAGGTGGAAGAGGCGAGGAAGGCTCTAGGGCTGGCAGGTGCTGCAGACCCGGTGAGTGGTGTGAGAGTTGTGAGTGTTGTGAGTGGTGTGAGTGGTGTGGGTGGTGTGAGTGGTGTGAGTGTTGTGGGTGGTGCAAGTGGTGCGAGTGGTGTGCATGGTGCGGGCGGCGGGGATAGAGGGGCTGGAAGAGTTTATGGAGGAGAGAGCGAGAGGGAGGAAGGAGAACGTGGAGAAGGCGAGGAAGGCCCTTGGGCTGGCAGGTGCCACAGATCCGGTGAGTGGTGTGAGTGCTGTAGATGCGGGGAGTTGTGTGTGCTGCGAGTGTTACACAAGTGATGAGGGGAGAACATTCCTGGCCCCTCCCCCCCCTCCGCCCGTTATCTTCCCCCGCCCCTCTCTCTCTCCCTCATTTTTTTGTCTGAGCACATTCCTGAACAACACTTGTGTTACATGGATGCACACTCCTGACCTCTCTCCCGTCTCCGTTGTCCCTCCTCCTCTCTCTCATTCCTCTCAGCTGGAAGCAGTGGCAGAGCACCTGAAAGACGCTTTTGCCAAGGGGGAATCAGCAGAGGCTGTGCTTAAATGGCTGCAGGTGAGATCTCAGGTGCCTTCAGGTGAGATCTCAGGTGCCTTCAGGTGAGATCTCAGGTGCCTTCAGGTGGAGTTTCAGATGAGACTGTGATGTATGTGTGGCCGGGAGAAGTAGCCACTCCATCTGGCGCAAGAGCATGCAACGTACCCCCCCATTCAACAGCATCTCTCTCCTGTATGCCTTCTTGGTTTCGACTTTCAACAACATCAGCCTGCCTCTTTGCCTCCTTCCCTTCCCTGTGACTGCTGCAGACCAACACTCCACCTGACACCCCAACGCAGCCGGCTTTCCTGCGCCTGCTCATGCGCTCGCTGCTGCAGCAGTGCATCGGTGATAGCAGACAAGACTTCAAGGTATGGACCTGACTGACTGTTTGACTGGCAGGCTGACTTCTTGTTGAATTTGAGTTGAGTCAAAGGCCATGCCGCGCGCTAGCTGCAGCAGCAGTGCATCGGCGCTAGCAGACATGAATACAAGGGATTGACCTGACTGGCTGACTGCCTGGTTGCTGACTGACCGACCGACCGACCGTCCAACTGACCTGCCAACCGAATGAGCGACTGTCTGTCTACCTTCACTTCGTCCCAAGTGACTGAGTGACTGTCAGGCGGGTGATTCTTTTGTTCAGTCCGTTCCCTCCATCCATTTTCTGTGCATCCCTACCTGCTAGTGTCTTCGCTGCTGCAGCTCTTCCGTCTTTGTTTCTAATGGGCAATCTTCTCAACAATGTCTTTCCTTTCTTGCTGATGATTGGCTTGTTGCTGCTGGCGATTGGCGTGTGACTGAAAGCAGAAGCTACTGGCAAGGCCAGTGAAGAAGTATGCCAAGGTCTTCCAGGAGTATGCAGCAAAGAAGCAAAAACCCAACCAGGTTCAATGTGAGTGCTTCCTTCCCATTCGCTTCTCCGTTCCACCACTTCCGTTCCCGATTCTGCTAGGACCTTCTTTTTTCCAGTTTCTTCTCTATTCTTTCCCATAAGTGACTTCAATCTTCTGGAAGCTGCTTCTTTCCTGGCGACTCTCCCAGAAGCTGCTTCTTTGTTTTTACAACTTATAATTGCACCTTTTATTTTTATTGCACCCCCGCCTTCAGATCTTTTCGGAGCTCAAGAATTCGCAGAGTCGTGTGGGCACCCAGCGGGCCTGCTAGACGCGGTCTTCAAAACACTCTACGACCTCGATGTGAGTCTCGTCCCTTGCACACTGTTCCTTTTGAGGCGCCTCAAAACTAGACGCGGTCTTCAGAACACTCTACGACCTCGATGTGAGTCTCGTTCCTTGCACACTGTTACACTGTTTCTTTTGAGGCGCCTCAAAACTAGACGCGGTCTTCAGAACACTCTACGACCTCGATGTGAGTCTCGTTCCTTGCACACTGTTACGCTGTTCCTTTTGAGGCGCCTCAAAACTAGACGCGGTCTTCAGAACACTCTACAACCTCGATGTGAGTCTCGCTCTTTGCACACTGTTCCGGCACTCGCTCATTCTCTCTGTCCTGCTTCCATGCACCTGATGGTCCACATGCTTCTACAACCAGCACGTGTTCTGAGTCAACTCAAAACACGACTTTGTTCCGTCACTTGCTCATTCTCTCTGTCCTGCTTCCATGTTCCTGATGGTCCTCATGCTTCTACAACCAGCACGTGTTCTGAGTCGACTCATAACACGACTTTGTTCTGGCACTTGTTCATTTTTATGTTTTGCTTCCATGCACCTGATAATCCTCATGCCCCTACAACCAGCACATAGCCATTTCTTTCCCCCTCCCATCCCACTTCTGTTGCTCCCATTATTCCATGTGTTCCTGGGATTGAGTAGTAGAGCAGCTTAGGGAAGACAATTTTCTTGTTATCTCTTCTCCCCCCGGCCCTCCTCAAAGAGCATGTGTGGAGACCGCGTTGCCGGCACACTGTTCAGTCTCTTTCTCTGTCTGGGCGCAGTTGGTGGAGGCGCTCATTCCCCTAGAACCCTAAAAATACTACAAGCTCCCTAGATTTTAGCGTCTCAAAATCTCCTTTTCTGCGCCTTTGATCAATCCCCTCATCTTGTCCCTTTTGGGAGCAGGTGGTGGAGGAGTTGATGCTGTTTAGGTGGCAAGACGACAACAAGGACCCAACGCCTGGCAAGCAAAAGGTGCGTGCCATAGCTTCTGCAGAAGCAAGGATTGCCGTTTGGTTATTGTCAAGAAAGAGGGCTTTGTGCTTGATCGCTGGCATCACCTATTGTCGCTTTCTGTTTTGCATTTGTTGATTTATTTTCTCTATCTGCAGGCATATTTGGACGTGCGCCATTTTCTTAATTGGCTAAGTACGGCACAGGAGGAAGGCACAGAGGAAAACGGCGGTGATGAAAATGCTTGACTTCAGTATTCTACACCTGATGGAAAACTCAAAAAGTGCAGATCCATGGCTTTAGAAGGCCATAGATGATATCATTGAGAAGGCAAATGCCTACCACAATTCTGGTCACATTGTTGTTTGTATCTTTACTTCCTCAAATCCTCTGTTGCCTACACCGCAATACGCTACAATTTCGAATTTGCCTTCACTTGCGGAGATCTCAATGCTGAAGTTGTGCGACTGTTTTGGACGCGCCATCCACCCTTGATTATCGCCAGCTTGTTCAACACTGGTGCACATTCACTCGTGCGATGTTGATGTCCATGAACATGTCGCATGCGTCGTCACGCGCACGCTGCGACATGCTCGCAATATCGCCAAGTTTTCCATGTGACGCGAAACGCCCGTCACGATGGATTAGATCTTTCGCAACGTCGCCTCTCAGTCGTGCAAGGCACTTCTCAACCACCCAAGCGTACGTGTCTCCCAACTTCCGCCTCGTCTCCGACTCGGAGGTTGGCAAGAAGGCGGCTCCTTCAAATTGTGCGCAAGTTTTTTCCGCCTGCCACCAGCCTCTTTGGCAGCTTGCGCCAAAGTTGCGCGCGCAACGCCTGCGCTCGCGCCAATCTGGCTGCGCCCCCGCCCCTGGTCCTTCTCCAGGTGAGTCGGTTTCGTTCTGAAGCTTTCCACGTGGCTTTGGTTTTCCCTGTTTCTGCCGCGGGGCCCTTGAAACTGCCGATTTGCGGAGAGATGGGCGGAAAGGCAGGCGCGACATTATCCAGGTTTCTGTAGGCACCAGACAGGCACTGTTGTACACTAGGAAAAGCTTTTTGGTGTGTTGACACTTAGCCGAACCGAACCAAAGAGCAGTCATTAGTCCCGTGATCAGTCAGTCAGTGAGCAGCAAGCAAGTACAGTGCAGGAGGCTTGCTATGCAATGGTGCGGTGCTCATTTTGAGACAGCAGCAGCAACCGGCAAAACAACACGCAACTAGCACCCCTTGGCTAACCCTAAAGTCCACTCCTGTCGCTGTGAAGCTATTTTTCCCAGCCTTGTTCGCTCGAGAGCGTTAGTGTAGCTATTCGCGTGACAGTAGCGGCGGAGCTGTGGCGGCTGTCGTCTATTGCGCGATTTAAAAATCCAGGTTATCTTGATGTTACCGTAACTGGCGGGGAGTAAGTCGTGCTGTTCGTGGTAATCAGAAATCAAGTGCTTTTTTAGAATGGAGCGGCTATTATGTAGACCCTGTCTACGTTCGCGGGGTGAATGTAGATGACGTGACGTACATCGATACTTCTTAAATTCGTTTTCTTTGTAGCGACGCACTTTTCAGCTAGACACGTTTGAAGCCGCGCAGAGACGTGATAGAGGCATTCCCGACACGTCCGGAAGAATTGCGTTCCGTTCTTTCTGGCATCCTCGCCGTTCTTTCGACATAGCTAGGCAGCCTTGCGATGCTTTCGTCTGCTCTCCCCCCGTGTGACCGTCGGCTACAGACATAACATCGGGGATCGCCAAGCGGAAGTAGGGAGGGTTACCAGCTTTCGCCATGAACAGGTGCGATCGTCGTCGGGAACCGTCGCAACGGGTACCAGCTGTCAGGTGCAGCACAGAACGTGGCGTCACAGCGACCTTTGCAGTGACAGCATTTTAAAAGGAGCAGGTTGTTTTTTTCTGGAAACATTTCATGTGTGGTCCATTAGGTCGTTCCGACGTGTCGAGCTCTTGAGACCCCTCACAAATGTTCGTTGTTAACTGTCCATGTCGGACCTGATCTCCGGGGCCTTCATTGAGGTGTCTTTCCATCACCCGTTTGATTCTGGAGACGATGGTTCTCCGAGTTGGCTTGAAGTTTTATTAGAGCTGTTTAGGCGCCTTATTGATGGGCTAAACGGTTTCAGTCATAGGTCCTTCCAGCACCCCTTCCATTCCAGACGCGACGACCCTTCGAATCAAGTTGATCTTATTGGGGGTGTATGCTGGTTAAGGCTCGTAACTCAACCAGACGCGACGACCCTTTTGAGGCGCTTAAAAAAACTATTTATGACTCGCTGTAGGGGTGCGTGCCAGTACACGGCATTGAATACGATTTTGGAGTTGACTCAAACGTTCCTGCTTTGACTCCGACTCTTCCCTGTGGGTGTCATGCGTGCAGGTACAAGGTGATCAAGCAGATGGGCGATGGCACATACGGCACCGTTTGGAAGGCCATGAACCTCCACACCAATGAAATTGTGAGAACAACCATTTGACGATTTTCCTGTGACCCTTCTAGATTGTGTCGCCGGTTCTACGCCGTGTTTGCTGCTGTCTTCTGCGGGTGCATCTCGCCGTGCGTTGCGCCGCGTATTACGCCGTGTGTCACAGTCTCAGTGCCCCCTCTTCCTCTCCCCTCCGTTCCTCTCCGTCCGCTCCCCCTTTCCTCCATTCGCCCCCTCCCCCCCCCCCCCCTCCTCTCTTCCCCTCCCTCGCCCCCGACCCCCGCCGCCTCCCCCTCTTCCTCTTTTCCGCAGGTGGCGGTGAAAAAGATGAAGCGGAAATTTTACTCGTGGGAGGAGTGTATGAGTTTGAGAGAAGTCAAGGTAAGCGCTTCAAAAAGCTGCAAGCCTCCTTAAGAATCCGAGGCGATAGCTGAATTGGACCGCGCGAGCAGAGCGCTGGAGCGAGCTGAAGTGACTCTAAGTTTCCGATATGCCTTTTGAGTGCACTCAAAAGTCATATTGGGTGATACAAGTTTCCATTTTTGTACGTTTTGCCCCCGTTTTCTGTTCTGCCTGCCTCTGTTCGCCACATTTACGTCCCCAACCTTCGCTGATCGGTTGCTGTGCAAGCAAAACCGGGACCCCCCTCCCCTCTTACGTCGTCTCTGATTCTTTTCCTCACCCTCCGCCAGTTGCTGCGCAAGCGGAACCATATTCTTCGCTCCCCCTCCACCCGCCCTTCCCCTGGTCCTGTCCCGCGCCCCCCGCTTCACTCACGTTACCCGCCTCCCCCTCAGCATTCAGCAGTTGCTGCACAAGCTGAACCACATTCCCCCCTCCTTTCCCCTGCCCTCCCACCACATCACCCCCCCTCCTCATCGTGCGCCAGTCACTGCGCAAGCTGAACACACATTCACCCTCATCTCCTCCCGTTCCCCTCCCGTTCCCCCCCTCCCATCCCATCGCCCCCCCTCCTCACCGTGCGCCAGTCGCTGCGCAAGCTGAACCACAGCAACATCGTGCGGCTGAAGAAGGTGTTCGGGGAGAACAACGAAGCCCCCACATCAGTCACGTTCCTCTCCCCCTCTTCTCCCCTCCCCTCCCCCTCATGCACCAGTCGCTGCGCAAGCTGAACCACAGCAACATCGTGCGGCTGAAGGAGGTGATCCGCGAGAACAACGAGCTCTTTTTCATCTTTGAATACATGGTGAGGCTCTTAAGGCGCCTAACCGAGCTGAGCTGACTTCTTCTTTTGAGTGACTCATGAGTCGACTCGAAAGCCACATAGGAAAACAACAAGCTATTTTTCATCTTCGAATACATGGTGAGGCTCTTGAGAGTTTGGGACAGGAGCGACGAGATTTGCTTGTTTTCTAATGCATGGTGGGTGGGATCAGTTGGCCTGCCGTGGTGACACTTGTTCGCCTGCCACTTTCCCCCCCCTGGCCCCAGCTGTCTTTCTCACAGACAGCAGTCTGTGATTAAGAGGAATGGCCGTGTATTGATTTTTCCCCCTCCCGTTCTCCCGCCCTGCCCCCAAACCTCCTCTCTCGCAGGACTGCAATCTTTACCAAGTCATGAAGGACAGAGAGACGCTTTTTCCCGAGTCGAAAATACGCAGCTGGATGTACCAGGTACGAGAACCCTCCCCCTAGCGAGGCGACTTTTGAGTTGCAAGGGCTAGCGTACATGCACAAGCACGGGTACTTCCACCGCGACTTAAAACACGAGAACCTGCTCGTGACCCTCCCTCACCCCTCGCCTTCCCCATTCTCCTCCCGCCCCCTCCTCTCCAGGTGCTGCAAGGGCTAGCCTACATGCACAAGCACGGGTACTTCCACCGGGACTTAAAGCCCGAGAACCTGCTGGTGACTAAGGACGTGATCAAGGTGGCCGACTTTGGGCTCGCCCGAGAGGTGCGGTCGCGGCCGCCCTTCACAGACTATGTCTCCACTCGATGGTAAGCTGGAGAGGAGAACGGAGCCCATGTTGTAGAGATTTGGATGTATCTTGAACGGACTATTAAGTAAGAGGTGAAGTCACGACCCCGCCCTTCACAGACTGCGCTCTCATGCGACGGTATGCTCCACACTCGAGGAAGTGCTGCTGTGCCCCATCCGTGTCTGCTCTCCCCTCCTCTCCCTCCTCTCCCTCCCTCTCCCCTCCTCCCCCTCATCTCCCCTCCTATCCCCTCCTCTCCCTTCCTCTCCCCTTCTCTCCCCTCCTCTCGTCTCCCCTCCTCTCCTCTCCACTCGTTTCCTCTCGTCACTGAGCAGGTACCGTGCTCCAGAGGTGCTGCTGCAGTCCACCGTGTACAACGCCCCCATTGGTACGTGCCGTGCTCCCTGCTGTATTAAAAGTCTGTCGTCCCAAACCCCCAAGGTGCTGCCTGCTCCATCGTCGAACGTGCCGTGCTCCTTGCTGTATTTCAAAGCTCCCCTGTTATCCGTGTTTCCCCCGCGCCGGCTCCCCCCTTTTTGTCCCCCTTCCCCTCTTCCCGACCTCCCCGAACGCAACCCCCCAACTAATGCAGATATGTGGGCGATTGGGGGCATAATGGCGGAGCTATTTTCGCTCCGCCCGCTCTTCCCTGGCGCCAGGTGCGGATGGGTTGGGATGGGTGCATGGGGATCACTGGGGCATGTGAATTACGGGGGCATCACATGGGAATGTGGCCACATGAAGCACAGCATTCAAGGCTCATCTTCTTCACGAAGCACTACGATCTTCCCCTCTCACCGCTCCCAATCGTTCCATATCCACTGCACATCTCCCATACCATGCACAACCTATCTCCCATACCCCTTTTATCTCCCCTTCCTCCCCGCCCCTGGCAGCGAGATCGACGAGATAGTGAAGATCTGCTCTGTCATCGGTACGCCCACAGTGCACACGTGGCCGCAGGGCCTCAAGCTCGCCGCTGCCATGAACTTCCGCTTCCCTGAGGTGGGTGGGGCCGTGGGGGTTGGGTGAGTGGGAGGGCGGGTGGTTGGGAGGGTAAGGCTGTGGGTGGGTGGATGGGTCCCTCGCACCTGAAGCTCGAATGCAAGCCACACGCCCATGGTGCACACGTGGCCGCAGGGCCTCAAGCTCGCTGCTGCCATGAACTTCCGCTTCCCTGAGGTGGGTTGGTGGGCTGGTTGGGTGGGTGGGTGGGCGGGCGGGTGAGTGGATGGATGGGTGGGTGGATGGGTGGGTGGATGGGTGGGGCACTCGCACCTGGTTACGACCTGGACGCCTTATCATTATCTTTTTCACTCTCCAACCCCTCCCCTCTCCATCCGCCATCCCCCACCCAACACCAGTACTCGCCCATCCCGCTGTCGAAGCTCATCCCATCTGCCTCCCCGGAAGCCATTGACCTCATGATGCTGCTCTTCTCCTCACTGTCTCAGCATTCCCTTTTTTCCCCTTTCAAACCCCCCACACTCCCTACCCCACACCCCCCCCCCCCCCCTGCCCCTCTTCTCCTCCCCTTTCCCCAACACCAGTACTCGCCCATCCCGCTGTCGAAGCTCATCCCATCTGCCTCCCCAGAAGCCATTGATCTCATGACGCTGCTCTGCTCATGGGACCCCGCCAGGCGACCCACAGCCGCACAGTCGCTGCAACACCCGTTTTTCCTGGTGGGTTGGGGAGGGGAGTGGGTAACAGGAGGGAATTGGGTAGCAAGTGGGGAGGTAGGAGGGTGGATCTCATGACGCTGCTCTGGTCATGGGACCCGGCCAGGCGACCCACGGCCGCGCAATCGCTGCAACACCCTTTTTTCCTGGTGAGTAACAAGATGGGATGGGAGGGGATGGTGGGGGTGGGATCACATGACGCACGCTGCAATGCTCCTGGGACCCTGTCAGACGACCTTGCCCCCCATCCCATGTTGTGCCCTACTCTCATTTTCCTTGCCATAACATCTCCTCTGCGGTTCTGCCCTCCCCTCTTTGGCCACCCACACTCCTTTCTTCCCCTCCCCTCCCCCAGAGCGGAATCCAGGTCCCCCCAGTCATGCCGTCACCCAAGCCAAACCCCACCAACTCCAGCCGCACCCACCCCGTCACATCGCCGCACCTCCCCTCCCTTCCACAAGCCGCCAGCAAGCCATACAGCCACCTAGACGAGCACTTGGACGAGTGGGAAGGGGCGCCGGGGCAGTCAGGGGGAAGCGGGGCAATGGGGCCAGCGGGGGGGGGAATGGGCGCGGGAGGGGGAGCGGGAGGGGGAGGGGGGTATATGCAGCAGCAGGGGCAGGTGGTACAGCAGCAGCAGCAGAAGCAGCCGCTGCAGCCGCACCTGCTGCAGCAGCAGGGGGGGTATTCGAGTCAGGATAGCGTGGGGGCGAGAGCGGGAGCTTTGACTCAGAAGCAGCTGCAGCTGCAGCAGCAGCAGCAGCAGTTGCAGCAACAGCAACAGTTGCAGCAGCAGCAGCAATTGCAGCAGCAGCAGCAGCTTCAAAGGCAGCTGTCAGGGGTTAGTGGGGTGGAGCAGCAAGGAGCAAGGAGGGCGGCAGGGCAGTATGGGCAGCAGCAGATGGGGCAGCAGGTGGGGAAGCAGGTGGGGGGGGTGGGCATGGAGCAGCAGGGCTCGAGAGGGCGAGGACAGGGGCAGCAATACGCGCAGCAGTTGCAGCAGCAGTACCAGCAGCCTTTGGACGTTGGAAGCGACCTGGCAGGACCTGGGCTTGAAGCAATGACTCCTAGATCTCGAGCCCAGATGCAGCAACAGCAGCAACAGCAGCAACAGCAACAACTGCAGCAACAGCAGCAACTGCAGCAACAGCAACTGCAGCAGCAGCAGCAACTGCAGCAGCAGCAGCAACAGCCTTACATGCAGATGCAGAAGCAACCGCTGACGCTGCAGACCCAGCTGTCTGGGGTGAACGCGGCTGCACTGGAAGCTCTAACCCCTCGCGCCCGTGCCCAGTACTACCAGCAGCAGCAGCAGCAGAAACCGCTGCAGACGCAGCTTTCAGGTGTAGGCCTTGACCCGCTAACCCCCCGATCCCGCCAGCAGCAGCAGCAGCAGCAAGCACAGTCACTGTACCAGCAGCAGCAGCAGCTGCTGCAGTCCCAGCTGTCAGGGGCGGGCTTGGAGGCTATGACTCCTCGGTCGAGGTCCCAGGCCCAGCAGCTTTTCCAGCAGCAGCAGATGATGCAACAGATGATGCAGCAGCAGCAGCTGCTGGAGGCTCAGGCAGGAGGGCAGGAGCAGGCCCAGGCTCGCATGCGTGCCCGCGCTCCTCCCCCGTTGCAGCAGCCGCAGCAGGGAATGGGGCAGGGGCAGGGGCAGGGGCAGGGACAGGGGATGGGGCCAGGGCAGGATTACAGCATAGTGTCTCCCCGGGCCATGCAGTCCTTTCAAGATGGGGGCTATGCCGGGCCGGCGGGCCTGCCGGAAAACTTTTCGGGCAGACCGGATCCGATGCATATGGACGGAGGGGGAGGGGGGTTGGGTGGAGGCGGAGGGGGAGGGGGAGGGGGAGGGGGAGGGAAGTCGTCGCAGGGTATGGGGTTCCTGGGGAGGAAGATTGCTTCCAAGAGCGTGAGTGGGAGGAATCAACAGCCTGCTGGGGACGGTGGGGGAGGGGGGAGGAGGGGGAGGAGGGCGGTTGGCGTCATTGCAAAGATATGGCAGCCAATTACTAGGTGAGAGGCAAAGGTGGCATGATTGGTACCGCTTGCGCAAAGCACTTGGTTCAAATGGGGGAAGGGCAAAAAGCATTTGGTCTATGGGTATAACCAAACGCCCATACTTCCTCCTTTCCTATTGCCCCACTTGTATCCATCCCCTCCCATCCGCTCCCACCTCCTTCCTTCCCCGATCTGCCTCTCTAACTGTCATCAATCTCCTCTCCTCCCTCCCTGGCTTTTGAGTCGACTCAAAAGCTGCCTCTCTGACTGTCATCAATCTCCTCTCCTCTCTCCCTTGGCAGGCATATCGCGGCACTCGAATGACTTCCTGAGGCACCTCAAATATTATTTCTGCTGCTTCCTCATCAATCTACTCTCCTCTCTCCCCTGGCAGGCATATCGCGGCACTCCAATGCATCTTCATCTCGATCTAACGCTACAGGAGCGGCCCCAATGGTACACCCTCCTCCCCCCCTCTCCTCATCCTTCCCCCCTCTCCCTCCCCTCTCTTCCGTCATTTTCCCCCCAACCCCCACCCTCCAACAACCCTCCGCCTTTTCAACCCCCCCACCTTCCCAACTTCTATTTTCTGACTGTGTGGTTTCGTTTGTCTTGGCTCTTCCTGCATTTCTTGGCTCTTCCTGCATTTCTTGGCTCTTCCTGCATTTCTTGGCTCTTCCTGCATTTCTTGGCTCTTCCTGCATTTCTTGGCTCTTCCTACATTTCTTGGCTCTTCCTGCATTTCTTGGCTCTTCCTGCATTTCCTGGCTCTTCCTGCGCTTCTCTCTCTTGCCTTGTTACCTCATCCTGCCCTAATCTTCCTTCTCATCTTGTGATGATGATGACGCATGGATCGTCATCAGGCCTCATCACAGCAATCACCACCACCATGCACCACGTATCATCACGGCACATCACAGCAATCACCACCACCATGCACCACGTATCATCACGGCACATCACAGCAATCACCACCACCATGCACCACGTATCATCACGGCACATCACAGCAATCACCACCACCATGCACCACGTATCATCACGGCACATCACAGCAATCACCACCACCATGCACCACGTATCATCATGGCACATCACAGCAATCACCACCACCATGCACCACGTATCATCACGGCACATCACAGCAATCACCACCACCATGCACCACGTATCATCATGGCACATCACAGCAATCACCACCACCATGCACCACGTATCATCATGGCACATCACAGAAATCACCACCACCATGCACCACGTATCATCACGGCACATCACAGCAATCACCACCACCATGCACCACGTATCATCACGGCACATCACAGCAATCACCACCACCATGCACCACGTATCATCACGGCACATCACAGCAATCACCACCACCATGCACCACGTATCATCATGGCACATCACAGCAATCACCACCACCATGCACCACGTATCATCACGGCACATCACAGCAATCACCACCACCATGCACCACGTATCATCATGGCACATCACAGCAATCACCACCACCATGCACCACGTATCATCACGGCACATCACAGCAATCACCACCACCATGCACCACGTATCATCATGGCACATCACAGCAATCACCACCACCATGCACCACGTATCATCATGGCACATCACAGCAATCACCACCACCATGCACCACGTATCATCACGGCACATCACAGCAATCACCACCACCATGCACCACGTATCATCACGGCACATCACAGCAATCACCACCACCATGCACCACGTATCATCACGGCACATCACAGCAATCACCACCACCATGCACCACGTATCATCACGGCACATCACAGCAATCACCACCACCATGCACCACGTATCATCACGGCACATCACAGCAATCACCACCACCATGCACCACGTATCATCATGGCACATCACAGCAATCACCACCACCATGCACCACGTATCATCACGGCACATCACAGCAATCACCACCACCATGCACCACGTATCATCATGGCACATCACAGCAATCACCACCACCATGCACCACGTATCATCACGGCACATCACAGCAATCACCACCACCATGCACCACGTATCATCATGGCACATCACAGCAATCACCACCACCATGCACCACGTATCATCATGGCACATCACAGCAATCACCACCACCATGCACCACGTATCATCACGGCACATCACAGCAATCACCACCACCATGCACCACGTATCATCACGGCACATCACAGCAATCACCACCACCATGCACCACGTATCATCATGGCACATCACAGCAATCACCACCACCATGCACCACGTATCATCTTACCCCATCTAGTTTTGAGACGTCTGAAAAGTTTTTTGAGTTTTGAGACTTCTTAAAAGTATCATCATGGCACATCACAACTATTTCCACAATCATGCACCACGTATCATCTTACCCCATCAGGACATGCAGATGGACACATCACCGCACATGGCAGCACCTTCATCCCGCAAGTCTGCAGCAGGTGAGGCCTGCAGCTCTTGAATTCGCTTCTTCCCTATTCGCTCTCCCGCTCCTTCGATCTCTCTCCCTTGCTCATCCCCTTTTCTGCTAAGAAAGGCTGGTTTCTGCTAAGAAAGGCTGATTTCTGCTAAGAAAGGCTGGTTTCTGCTAAGAAAGGCTGGTTTCTGCTACCCTCCGTATCTTCCTTTCTTTTGCCCCCTCCCCCTATGCCCCCTCCCCTTGTGCCCCTTTCCCTTTACCCCACTCCCATTGCGCCCTCTCCCCACTTGCCCCCTCACCCCTCACGCTTCTTCCCGTTCTCCTATACCTGCCCCCTCCGCGCCATGCCACCAGCACTAGCACGGGCAGGGTCAGCAGCAGCAAGCATGGCAGCAGCAGGGCCCCCCTCGCCTCACGACCCCAGTGCGGGCTATTCCAGGTACGGTGCCTGCCTGGTTATGCTGTTATGATGCACGTGCTATTCAAGGTATGGTGCCTGCCTGTTGTGACCCCAGATGTGACTTTTGAGGCGCCTCAAAAGCAGCAACTATGGCAGCAGCAGGGCCCCCATCGCCTTACGACCCCAGTGCGGGCTATTCCAGGTATGGTGCCTGCCTGTTGTGACCCCAGGTATGCTCTTTGAGTCACACGTTACGATGCACGTGTTGCTTTTTGCATGTTGGCCTGTGCGTGGAGGGACCGTGAGCACGTGTGCGTGGAATATCCCGGAACACCACCCGCTTGTAAGGATGTGACTTTTGAGTCGACTCAAAAGTCGCACGTGTGTGTGGAACATCCTGGAACACCACCCGCTCGTAAGGATGTCAAACGCATGGACATAATTTCTTGCATGTTGCACTGCGCATGCATGAGGTGTGAGTGAGAGCACATGTATGTGCCGAATCCACAGGCCTACGCATGCATCAATCAATCCTGCACGCCTCATTCCACTCCCCACCACCACCACCATCAGAATGGGGACCTATCCAGCAACACACGCCCAGGATGCATATGCGTATGGCAACGGGCCGGCAGATATGGGTCCCCCTGGGGATTACTA